CGACCACTTGGGTTACAGCAGGCAAGCCGCACACATCATTTCTCAAGCGGCTGTTTCTGTAGCTTTCTTTGCGGGCTCGATCTCTCTGCGTACACCGTACGTACATGTAAACTTCGAGGGCAGCGTTCGCGGCCATTTCTCTTGTTCTTTCGTCCTAAATTTTTCATTCATCGTGCTTTTGTTTCTCCTACATACACGCAATATATGCATATGCGTACCCGAGAGCTTGCGCATAGACCAAGTACACACACACAATCGTGTTACCATATATCTCTTTCCTCCCGCGCGCGCAAGCTCTCATATAAGCGTGTACCCGCGCACTTTTTCCATTTGCGTGTGCTCTCTAGCGCGCTCCTATACACTCCTTCGCCGTCGCCTGGAATCCGCAGGTATGTTTTTGTTTTCCACGTAGACACATATATGCGCTGTGTGCAAGCTCTAGAGCGAGCACTATACATGTACATAAACTCTCGTATTCCGTGACGACCGCGAGTTTATCTTTGAGTAGCGTCTAACGTGAGCAGCTTATATAGAAAACCGTATGTCATATATATATCTATACAGGCGCTTTTTTGTGTGCACGGCAACGCCGTCGACACCAGCGCAGTTGCTGCTGCTGCTGCTACTGCTCGACTACGTGCCAACATTACTTTTGAGAGCTGCGCTACACCTCTGGGCTATGGAACAAGCTGTGTGTACCGTGCGCTACTATATACATTACGTTAGCTATTGAATTTCTGCAATTGTTTAATCAAACTTTTCACTTATACTTCAAAATTACTGTTGCACTTATATACACAGAGCCGGATGATGCAGCGAATTTTCCTATTTCGCACGAGTTGTTATCGACGAGACTACTACTACGTGGAATAAAAGCTCTTTCGCACTCGCGCAAGCTCCAGCGCTTCTGTATAAAAGTTTTCAACGAGCTCGTTTGTATATCGCGTGGAAAGCTCCGTAGCAAAAGGGAGCTCGCTGTATAAAACTGAACAAGGATGAGATAGAAAGATAGAGAGGGAGAGAGAGAGAAATTAGCGATGTATTCGCGCTGTTTAGTTTCGATTTTTTCCCCTGCGTGCGCTCGCGTGGTAATCAAGTTCAATTACATGCTATGCGCGCGAGACCGTGGCGTTGGCTCTCTGGGCTGCTGCTACTGTTACGGAGGGAGGGGAGATGAGGTCCGTGCGCTTATCTCGCTGATGATTAATCGTGCTTTGTACGGGCCAGGGAGCTCGTTAATAAAACGAAGAATATATTCATATATAATATACATACTGCGCGATATAGTAGTATACACTGGGCATATCGTGGCGTTATTGTAATAAATCTAACCCAAAGTTTATGTATGTAACTCTATGAATCATATAGAATAGAGAAGAAAATTAAATTTCGATTATATAAACGGCGGGTTGGGCGGTGGTTGCACCGCACTGCACTGTGCAAAGAAAAAGCGTCGTGTAAACACTTTTTCTCGCAAACGTTTGCGGACATCGTTTGCCAGGAAGGAAGGAAAAACACTTGCGCACACATGGACGCGGTCGAGGTTGGTCGATCTCTCGAGCGAACGATCGAGCGAAGGACGCGGACGAAAGAGAAAACACAGTCGTCGATTAAAGCAGCGATTTTCATTTATCGAGTTTTCTCTTTCTCTCTCTTTTTCGCTCCCTCTCTCTCTCTCTCTCTTTCTCTGCCTCCATCTCTCTCGTGTATAAAGGCTAGCTTTGCAAAGACGTAAACGCGCGGGCCATGCGTTCCTTTTTTTTCTTTGGTAAACGCGAGAGAGAGAGAGAGAGAGAGAGAGAGCGTCGTCGCTGCGTATATATCTGGTCTCTCGAGAGCATCGAGCGCAAAAATAAGAGAGAGAAAGAGAGAAAGGGCGACATAATCGTCCGTTGCCTGCTCAGCTGCACGAGGCCAGTTTTACCCGTGGCGTACGAAGGAAAAAGAAGTTGTCCTCATCCCCATTAGGAGCGCGTCTGACGAACCAATGAAAGAAACCGAGAACTATATACGCCAGTGCGAGTTCAAGTGTGTATACAGACGTACGTGGAAAGCGGCTTTTGTTCGATAAAAAAAAATCGAACATCGGACTGTATACCAATAACGCAACTACGGTAGCAACGATGACGCGCGGAATTTAATAAAGGAAAAAGAGCTGTAAAATGAACGTATAAACGACTCAACTATTGCAATTGTGCTTTTGAACGCGTGAAAATTCCTCCGCCGAACGCGCATAATTTCGATGCACAGCACATAAATGCTGTACACGACAATTTTTCACGAGCCCGCGATGCCTATACGTTACCGTCGATCGCAAATTTATCAGCATTAGCCAGCCACCCACACGCCTGAGCCGTTTGTTGTGTGTATATAGTCTGAAGCTGCAACTCTACTTGCCTTTGCTTGCCTCGGCCATTCGCGATCGTATTGCTCAAGGAGTGAGCGAGTGAAAGAGAAAGAGAGAGACGCACACCAAAAATACAAACTCGTATACAGCTCATGCGCGCGTGTGTGTGTGTGTGTCTGCGTGCAATCGAGGCAGTATAACATTCCTCTAGAGAAAAATATAAGGACTGACGGCGCTCGAGAGCCGAGCCGAGCGCGGCATCTTTCTGTGGTTATTCAGTCGTAACAAAAGGCAATCACTGGTACAGGCAGCAAAGCAGCAGCAGCCGAGGCCTCATAAGTTATATACCCCCCTGTGTACCATTTGAAAATCGACGACGATATTTTTGCCGCAGAGAGTTTAGCCGAGCGTCTATACATCGTATACACACACTCACTATATACATGTACATCGGTGGACGCTCGGAGAACTACGAAAGCTCAAAGAGAAAAAGTATTTCCCAGCCAATCAGCACCACTACTACTGGTTGGCTCGGATCTATATACCTATAGCATGTATACACAGAGTCCCACACTTACGCGCGCAGCGTATAAACGTCTCTCGACAGCTATGTCTCAGCCCTTGTCATTTTTACACGACGTACAAAGTACTTGTGAACCACCCAACCTCCGAAAATCGGTTTCCCCTCCTTTATATACCTATATATGAATCAGACAAGAGGCTTTTAGCGCCTCCGAAAGTTCACCGCGTCTCTCTTCTGTGGGTGTGCGGGTATATATCTATTTTGTTGCACGAGCAGGACGCCCTTGAGGATGCTCCACACATACAGGCGCACAAGTAGACAACTCATTTTTCTTCACGGCCGATCTATTTAGCTTGTTTTTCAAACTATTTTTGAGCCTTCAATGAACTGGACTTGGCAGAAGTAATACTGGTCAATTGGATTTTTATCACTTTCGACGTTTCATAAAAACAAAAATACGTGCCGTTCACTTCTCCCGAACAAGTGCTAAAATAAAAGTATTTTTGATATATCCACCGTCGGAATACAGATGTACAAAAGGTATTACATTTTTGTACACGTACGGCGCGTCGTTCAGTCATCGATCCGTGAAAAGAGAGAACCATTAATGGGTCGCGGATCGATCCTAATAAAGTCCGACGCAACAAGAAATACAACACATACTCGCGCGCACGCGCGAGCATCGACATTCAAACTAGGAAAGGCAATTTTCAAATGAACCGGTATGTGCAAGATAATCAACGCCGCACACGCGCGCGGCCGACTTTGAAACGACCGCCAATCTCCACGTAGCCATTCTGGCCACCGCAGCAACTGCTTTTGCAAAACGGTATAAACAATTCACGGCGCGATAAAGATGCATAGTTTTTTTTTCTTTTTTGTTCGATTCATCCGATCGCGGCCTTTTACATTTCACGTGAGGATTTTACAAAAGCGAAAAAGAGAGAGAGAGAGAGAGAGCCATGCATGTGGATGAAGTTCAGCTCGATGCAGTGGATGTTCATTAACGAGATGACTGGTGAGCGGGCGCATGCAACACACCTGCATCGCTGCTAGGTCAAATCAACTTCTATTTATGGCTTTTCCCCCCATTTGTACGACGTGATTTTGTAAGCCCAGTGAAAATAGACATTTCATCTTTTAATAATCCAGCGGTGTGCGTTGCGAGGCTAAGTTTAATTTTCTACTATTGCTTGGAAAAAATTAACTAGAAGAAAAAAAGTAGCCGAAATTGGAAAAAGATAGAACAGACTGCATTGTCGTGACCCTGGCGGAACTATCCGGGCTCTCATCGCGAATTGCAAATGCAGCGTGATAACGCAGTGACAAAAAAAGAAAAGGGGGAGACCTGCGAAGGAGCAAAACTGAAGAAAGCACATATATATTGAAGGAAACGCATTTCACGTGCCCGCAATCTCTCTCTCATTCTCCTTTTTCTCTTTTTCTTTCTCTCTATAGCCCGTGATATGATAATGTAACGCGTAAAATTTGAAATGCGGCCCAAACGACTTGTCACACCTGCAACCAGTGTGCATAATGCAGTATTAGATAGGAGGATCTTTTGTGTGTACGCGCTGGCTTTTTACATACGTATATTCGTGCGATGTCGGCTACAGGGAAAATTTGATTTTTTTCAATTGAAATATCGCCACGGCGTTCGCCGATCGTTGGACATTTTCATCACGTTTTCCGATAGGCGATTACAAAATTAATTGGAATAAAAAAAGGAGCGAAGAAAAAAAAATTCAATCAGAGTAGGGCCCCGATCGCACGCGCGTACGCAGGCAGGCAATCGCCGTGTATTTAAAACATCGTTGAGTAATCCGTGAGTTTTTTTTTCGTGCTCATTAAAGTCAAACTAAAGTTCACTCGAGGCACCAGACCAAACTACTTTCGCGCGCAGAGGTAGAAAATTCCACCGAGCTCGAAGAGTCTTATTCGAGACTTGTTTCTACTTAAAATTCTCTAGAATCCGCTAGTGACATTCGCAGCGATCACTGCCGCTCTCGCGGAATTTCGGATCAAGGCGCGAGTCAGGCTTATGAGAAAGAATAAGAGAGGGAGAAAATCGAGGGCGGAGGGAGGAACAAACATGTGAGCGAGAAAAATTGATACGGAATATTAACTTACTTAAGTGGCAGCGAGGAAGGCGTAGAGACAAAGGGGTAAAAAGTCAGAATGAGTCCGGCGGGCGCGCAGAGCAGGAAGTTTTCACCCGGCTCTCGGCAATGATGTAGCTGAAACAGAAATGTAAACTTTAGCGTGAAACTTTCTTCGGACTAGCTGCTGCTGCTACTGCTCTTTTGTAAAAGGAGGCTGATTATTATTCGTAACGGTGCAGCGTATAATGCGCAGCGTCGAAAGCGCGGAAAAACAAAAATCATTCAATGGAACTGCTCGAGAGCTATTACAGGCCGAGTTGAACATTTGTCGCGCTCCCGACGCAGAGAGAGAGATTTGAACAATTTATTGACCAAGGTCGAAAGACCGAATGGCAATTAGCAGTAAATTACAATAATATATATATTTACAAATAAAACAAGCATAAANCCACCTGAGTTAGTGAAAGCAGGACCTCCGTCTCCTGGACAGGCCGGAACTCGAAGCTTGGTATGGCATCGTCAACAGTTAGATCAGTGATGCGAACAAACTGTTCAGGTGAGCAACACGGATGAGCAGTTGTCACAGTGCAGTAATGATCCAGCAGCTTGGCAGCCGTGAAGAAGCCGAGTGGTGAGGGCGGCTGAGGGCCAGACAGGCCAATACGACGCAAATAAGACCATCTCTGGGAGTCCGTTTCACAGCGCCTCAGGCCACCAATCAAATATGACTCACGTGCACGTTTTATGTCACACTTAATGTCGCGACGCAGTGATCTATACCGCTGCAACAAAGCCGGACACCGACCTCTCTTGTAAGCCTTATAAAGTCCATCCCGAAACCTGCATCTATCCCGGAGCGCTGGCGTGAACCACGGGGCCGCTGTGGCGCGCGAGGAACGAGCTCGTAAGGGAGCGAAAGTGTCCAAAGTAGCTACCATTCCAGTCTGAAGAGCACTGACCATCTCGTTCAAGTCCGACATCTCACGAGCCGAAGTGAGAGCAGATTGTAGCTCAAGTGCAAATTCAGGTGTAGCAACGCAACGCCTATCTCGGTACTTGCCAACACTGCAGAGAGGCAACGGTGCAGCGAGCGCATATTCGACCATGATGGAATCGTGAGCAGCAGCGAACGGTGTCGGGGACTTGGTGCTGGCAATGACTTTATCGAGCGAGTCTACAATGATGTGATCAATGGCGGTGTCAAAAGTGAGGCCATGATGTGTGGCCCCAAAGGGCACGATGTCAAGCGAAGCCTCCGAGACCAAGTGCCGATAATGAGCAGTCTCGTACTCGTCCGAGAGCAAGTCCACGTTGAAGTCACCAGCCAGGATCGACCCGCAGTACGCACGGTGACACATCGAGCGATAGAAGCTGAACAGTTCGTTCAAATAAAAGCCACCGGGTCTTCTATAGACAGCTCCAAAGAGCAGCTTCTGTTTTCCACTGCCGATTTCCATCCAGAGGCACTCAGTCTCGTTCAGTGTGACTATCTGAGGAGCGTGCAGTATACGATGAGGGATCCCATTGCGGATATAAACGGCAATACCACCACCTTGCATGTATTTGAATTTTCGCTTTCGGTTATGCTTGCGTCGGCGCTTAGCTGCAGTTGCCAATAAACCACGGTCGTTTCTGATGAGCTTGTAGCCCGGTATATTGCACATTGTCGACGGTAGATTGGGAGTCATCCATGACTCGACCAGCGATAGTACATCGATGTTTTGCGTCGTCAATAAATCACGTACTTGCGTGAAATGATCTCGGAGTGAATTGATGTTTATGTGCATGATTGTGATTCTGTCGAGCAACTCCGACAAGCGATCCTGGTGATGCTTAATTACCTTCTTCAGTCATAACAGACTCTCCAGATCCGACTCCGTTAACAGCTCGATGACATCGGCGCCATCCGACTTCCTCACGCAGACCACTCCGTCGCGAGCCCAGACATGACGATAGCCGCGCGCACTCGCTGTGGTTCTTGCCTTACGGAGTAAATCGTGCACAAAATTTGAGTGCATTTCGTATAGTCTCAAGCTACCAACGGCACCAGGCACGAGCGCAGAGGCAAGCAACTCTCCGGATCTCTTCTTGAGCCTGAGAACCGAGTCGCGGGAGACTATCTGCTTGAACTGCACAACCATGGAGCGAGCAGCGGATGTGTCGGGCTGGCCATCGGCGAGCCGAGCCGACAGCGGAAGCCACCGGACCTCATTTACGTCGGCAATGTAGTTATCGGCTCCCACAAGCTTGAGGACCGCAGTACAAACACCACGAGCATCCTGATCAACAGTGGAAACCAGGGCCGATGGGATACCTACAATTTTAAGCTCCGTACAGGGCTTGGCCTTGCTCAGGTAACGCTCAGTTTGCCGCTGACGAGCCTCCAAAGCCTCGATACGCCCCGCATGGTTCTCGAGGGTTGAAATCGCCCTATCGAGCTTGAGATCGGTGGCAGCAGAAGCAGCTCTGAGCTCGGAGCAAGTGGCACTGACGTCGCTCAGGGTCGCCTTCAAGTCTCCCATAGTCGCCTCCATCCGGGCGAGCACAGCAAACAACTGGGTCCCATCACCGACCGGCTGAACTGCACCAGCAGGCAAGAGCATGTTTGAGGCCGACATCGAAACAGCAGCAGTCTCCTTGGCAAGAATACCTCGGCGCGAGTCCAGGCTCGAAGTGCGGGAAGCCGCTCGTGTAGATGCAACAGTCCGTGCGGTCTCCTCACGTCGAGCAACCGAAGCTTCCGGAAGAGAGGCAGATGACAGACCAGCACAGCACTTTGTCGATGTTCGAAGAGCGAGGTAAACGCTCAGACAGTCAAGATGAAACGACGAACCACAGGCGTTACAGGTAGTGGACTCAGCTGCAGTAACAGCGTTCTTGCACCTCTTGCATTCAACGTCAGACATCAGCAAGTCAATACACAGCAAGCATAACACAACAGGGCAGCAGACAGCAGTCGCGACGCTTAGTTCAAAATACGGGTCCACAAGCACAATAATAAGTTTTAAAGTCAATACGCCGAGCTCTAGTAGCGTATAAGACTCTCGATCAGCATGTAAACAAACCAAGCAAGACACAACAACACACGAGCAAACGGCAAAAATCACTGCGAATCGATAAGTCAACTTTTTCACCTTTAACACAAGCTGTATGCAGCTCACCTAACAGCGAACTCAGTAAAAAGTGCAATGCAAATTTTCACACTCGCACAAAAAAGAGCGAAATTAACGGCACAAAATTACGACTCACAACGATCAAAATAGCAGAGCTCGATCAAACGCGTGTTTACTCGTTCCAGCCCAGAGAGAGAGAGAGAGAGAGATTGTTCGCTCGAGCCTTGAGCGGTCGGTTAAAACTGTCTACTAAGGGAGTAAACACCACCGGGGCTCGCTGCAGCTTCGACGACAAAAGGGGTAAAAAACTTTTTCGTACTTCTTGGCTTAATTCGGCGACGAGGCGTGTGCCCCCAGCGGATTTATACTCTCATAAATATGTATTTCATAAGTTAATATGCATTCCGAAAATCTGGATCTTATCTCTAGGCAGTCTCAGCGCTGCTGTCCCAAGCTTACTCTCGACATGCTTACGTAAGCTTCGCGGGCGAGCCCCGCCGCGCGTTTTTACAATCGGACGTTACGACTAAATTATACAGATTTACAATCGGTTAATTTTCGCCCAACGTGTATACACCGAGAGAGCATAGTCTCGCGAGTCTAGCCGTAAATCATAATTCAGAGAAACAAGCGGGGAAAATTACTCATAGCAGTGACGGAAACCATAAAAACAAAAATAAAAGAAAAAAAAAGGAAAGAAATATTATCTCGTTTACACCTGTACATAGCGTAGGGAGAACCGTGAGAGTCGCGCGCTGGCAATAAGTCGGAGCAACAGCGGTGCGCTATAGTATAGGAATAGTAGTCGAAAATCGACGAAACGGACCATACACAAAACGCGCACGTAGGTCTCGTTGTTCCTCGGCAGTCGCACATGGCAGGTGCGAATAATAGCTTGGCAAAAGGCAACGAAAAAAAAGGAAAAAAGGGAAGAAAAATTGAAAATTGGGTCAGTCCACGGCAAATTTCGCGTCGAATATAGCGCGCGCGCATTGAAATATACTATTTTCGACGACGACGACGACGACACACACACACACACGCATGCAGAAGCTCTGGCAATTGAGCGTCCGTACACGCATCCACTATAACGTACATCGAAATGCACTCGGCCGTGTCAAAACATACGCGCGGAACAAATGAATACATTTGTATATCGCAGCAGCAGCAACAGTAGCTGCAGAGAGAAACGTGTGCGCGGGACGGCTGGTCGGATCGCGAGATTTATGCGCAAATTTTCCGTGGCCGCATTCAAATTCTTCGCGAGTTCGCAAAATACGTCGAAGGAGCACAGCAGCGTGGCGGTAAAAACGTAATCGTTCGAGATACAGTTGCGTATTGTACACCGCGAATTATCCTGCGAATTACGCGTCGACAAAGTTCGAATGCAATAATGCGTATGCGCGGCAACGACCGAAAATATACCTGTGTTGTTCGTGACGCAGTTATTATATCGAGGCGCGACCGTCGGTAAAAATTGTCCTGCTATGCAAGAAGAATAATATTACGAATCGAGCCTATATTGGTGGTGGCTGAGAAAAAGTTGGTAAAACGAAAGTCACCGAAACTCTCTCGGGAGACACACACACGCGTTCACACAACAACTACAAAAAACTCGGGCTGAGTTATCTATTCGCATTAAAAGAGCTGGCAATAAAAGATGCGGAGAGAGAAAAAGTCGGCCGGCGAACTCGCGCGATCTATTAAATCGAAATTGGCAGGAAAATGAAAACACGACGGTAGATATAGGCGCGCGTGTATGTGTGTGTGTGCGTGTCGAAGGTGGGGCATGCATCTGGCATTCGTCCATTGGTCTGCACGGGAAGAGAAAAGAAACGAGGCAGTAGTAGTAGCATAGCGGCAGCTACTCTAGACTACGGCCGACTGCTGCCCCGAGGGCTCGAGATTTGTCTCCGGTTGGCGATTTAATTTCAGAGCATAAATAACCCAAAAGTCAATGGACGCGAGAGCGCAAGTCGGAGGCTCCGACGGACCTGCGAACGATCGATTTTACAGTCGACGACAGATAATGCATGGCGCGCGACTACCGTATACAGATATACAGATATGTATGCGCGAGCATACGCGGAGCTTTTTGAGAAAACGTCGCGATCGCAAGCGACGATGATTGTGTCCATTAGTCGGTGGAGGGGAACCGATGCCTTCTTAATGGACCTGTTTAAAAGTTTCTGCGCACTTTAGTCGGAAAAAGAAGGTAAAAAAAAAGATGAGAGGAGTCAAGTAGTTCTGATCTTTTGTTGTCCTTTCAGAATCTTATGCACGCAAGGTACATTATTTTGTACCGAGCGATTAACAATATAGTTGTAAACTAAGACTCTGAATACTTCTCGAGTTACTTGGATTACGGCATGCGAGTTTTACATTCGCTGTTGGATTTTATCGTCCGCAAAGCATGTAAGACACGTACATTTTTAAGTGGATAAAAATCTACATCATAATGCAAGCTCCATAGCCGCAGCGGAAACAGCAAATCGATGTCTCTCTCTCTCTAGTGCGCATGGAGAGCAGAGCTCACTACACTATAGCTCTCACAGTCGCCACTTTGTACTACTACTGCACGAGCTCGGAGACGGTACGCGGTGCAGGCTGCGGTGAAGCCAAGAAATCAGAGAGGGTATATAAATTTTCTTGGCCACACAGGCGATCTACGCTCGGGTCTCTCTCTCTCGCTCTCGCAGCCCGCAGTTGTCCTCTTCTATGTATGCATGCAGAGTATAAAGAAAGAATAACGAAATACTCGGCTGCTGCCGTCGCCGCTACCACTCGAGCATATTAAAATTCCGTTTGGTCTGCCACGCGGAATATAATGATCGACGAGCTTCCCGTGCCCGTTGTCGCACATGTTTTATAGTATTTCAGCACGAATGTAGCAAGAGAGAGAGAGAGAGAGAGGACAGCTAAGAAAATCATCGCAGAGACGCGTACGCCCGTTGAAAAGATCATGAAATTTTCTAAAATATGATTAAATTTCTCGAACGTTATTTATTTTTCCACGCGTATACATGCGCGTGTATAACTTTTTTTCCGCCAGTGCGTATTGCTACCAGTACGTATTTATACAACTACGACTATCTGTTTATCGCTTCGAGAGATCGCGAAGCACGACGAGCACTAGTTTCGGGGCGAGCACAAATTACAGGCTTAATGCAAATCACGGTGTGAAGCAAACAAGGAGTTCTTACAAAGCACACGTACACCCACTCACATACAAGCGACAGCTCTGTATGTACACCTAGATACACATGCAGAGCTGCTGCTGCCGCCGCCGCTGCTGCTGCTGCTGCTACTGCAACTGTAATTGTATCTACGTCAGATGCAAGACTCTGGGATGCACGTGTATAGTAATACATCGCGCATAATGCGCCCGGGGCTATGGATACACTTACTATATACATACACACACACACATACATACAGGCGCAATTCAGCAGCTAGAGAATATATTAAAGTTTCAGCTGCAAGTGTATTATGATTGTTAACGCCTCTCTAAAACTAACTAACGTCAAATACGTGTGTGTGCAGCGACAGCGCATAGTGATTCTCGTAGAAGTACAAAAAAGCTCCTGTACTAACCCATTAATTATATCCTCGATAAATTGAGTTATTACGACGTTGGCCGTAGCGAGCTTTTTTCACGATATTATTTTGTTTTTGCCCTACCCAAGCATTAGATCAATCTTAATGGGTTTGTTACGGCGATCGCTCACTCGACTAGGCCAATCTAAACATCGTAAAACGATAAACACGCTCAGCAGTAGTTGCAGCAGCAGCAGCAGTTCACACAAAGCTGCAGCTTGCGGAAAACTCGAGCAACAGTAGCGGCAGTAGCGGCAGCAGGCCGCGAGTATATAACTTTGAAGATGCGCCCCACAAGACGTATATCTCCACAATTCGCTCTTCTCTCCGCACCGAATAAAGCTATATAGGAGAGCGAGGCAGTAGCGGCAATAGCAATAGCTGCTCTTTGCCAAGGATTCCTGAGGGCAAGATGCTGCGGTATAGCGTCAAGAAGCAGAGCCAAGGTGTGTGTATGTGTGTGTGTATGTGCGTATGTGCGCGTATATATACGAGCTAGCGAGAGTCAGAAGTGCCGCTTCCACTGCTTCTCTCCGCTCATTCTCGCGCACTGGCTCTTCTCAAGGGATTAATCACCGGGTATTATGGCGGCGCCGGTTCAAAAGCATCGTCGTCCCTTGGATTAGATCGGAGATATGACCTGAGACCAAGATGCTACAGAAGTGAGAGAAAGAGAGGGGGAGAGAGAGAGAGAGAGAGAGAGAGAGAGAAAGCGAGATAAGCGTTCCTCAGAGGTGTGCTTGGTTATTAATGCCAACCTGCCTTCCCTCTGTCTCTCTTCCTCCCTCCCTCTTTCTCGTTCTCTCTGTAAGAGTGCTGAGAAATGAGCTTAAGAGCGCAAAGAGCGGAATGAAACAGAGAAAACGAGAGCCACCGACACGCTCGACCCTCGTTACGCGCTCGCGCGATTCTTCGCTTTAATGCCGCGGAAGGTGCGCGAACCGCAGTTATTGATATCCAGGAATTTTCGAGAATTAACTTTTGTTTATGTTTTCGGGCGAAAGCTTTCAATGCCTGGTGAGGCACCCACTCAAGAGGCTTTTTTATATACTTGTAGCACTGCTGTTGCCCGAATATAACACGCTGCCAAGAGAAGATTTACACTGCAGCTTCGCACCCGTTCGAATTAAATAACATTATCGTTAGTTTTACTTAAAATTTGTACGTAGAAATAAACCTAATTATGCCGAGTTATGGATCTAAACAAAATGTATCTATTTCAAAGCTATGCTTTGACTTATACAATTATATTTGCTCAGCTACTTACAGATTCACAGATTTAGGTACTCGCCATCTAGTGGTAAAGGTTTAAAGTAATATTATTATCTTAAAAATGATTGAAAATTAATCTTAATTTATCGAAATAATCAAATTTGAATTTTTTTTAAATGCGTTTAATATAAGTTTTTAGTATGTCGATGTGACGTGTTGCTATAGATTCAATTTTATTACAGACCCAAATGATTCAAGAATCTGACAAAAGCATGAAACTGAACTATCGCATTTATTAAAAACAAAATATTGATTATACAAGATATCTCGCTTGAAAACGTGCTTTGAAAACAAATAAATTAATGATACTATATATCTTTAAATCAGAAGTATGCGAGTACCGGAAAAAAACTCGATTTGATAATGTCAAGTCTTTTTTTCATGATTCCGTTGAGTATTCGAATGATTAGATATTCAATTTTTCTTACGTATACCCAGCATATACTGGGCATTTATGGTCACGGTGGAGACATAGCAAAGATGTTATTCGAGATCAGCACCGGCAAATATCAGCCGTTGCAGGTCGATGCTCGGGACAAATTAGGCCGCACACCGTTGCACGTGGCTCTAAGCTACGAGCGCGCACACTTGGCCAAATATTTGACGATAAAAGGTGCCAACCTGAGTTTGTCCGATGTTGAGGGATCGACTCCTCTGCATTTGATTTGCCTGAGACCCATCACCCGGAGAAACAACGATAAAAATTACTTGGTAAAGTTATTTTTCAAGCTCAAATACGACAAGCATCAGCTCGTTTCGATCAACGCGAAGAACAAGTTGGGTCGGACACCGCTACATTTAGCTATAATTCGCGGCTACAAACCCTGGTAGAAATAGCCGAATTTCTGCTAAAAAGAGGCGGGATCCGAACTTATCAAATGCAGAGGGATGTACACCTCTGCACATTATTTGCAGGAAAAACGATGATTAAGATTTAGCGGAATCATTTTTCAAGATAAATGACGAAATTCAGCAAACGGTACAGGTCGATGCCCGCGACGAGTTAGGCGTGACACCTCTACAAATGACCGTAGCGCGTATTTCGCCCCGCGTGTTTGATGTTCTCCTAGATCGTGGTGCCGAAGTGTACATCTTCATTTTTCCCACGCAGTATGATTTCAACGAAGGATCCAAACCACGCCATTATGAATGCGAGTTCCAATTTAAGTTAAGATTAGCGTCCGGTGCTCCGGCCGTCGTAGAGAATCTTGAAAAAAGAGGATACGAACTGGACCGAAACGACGTCCTGACGATTATGAAAATATTTTCTAAGCACGAATTGTTCTTTAAGTCAGAATATCTTGGGAATTGTTGAAAAAAGTACTCGTCGTCGGTATGAGTCAAGTAAAATTCGAAAAATCGAATATTCGCACACTTGTACTATGAACATTCTAAATGGTTTCTTTTTGGCCATCAAGCCAATATTGCAAATTTCTACCAGGGATAATTGCCACTAGCATTCGACGTAACTCGTAATTATATAGAATTCATTGGTTTTCTTTGATTATGGAGACAAATAATATTTTGCAAATGGCGCCTTTATAAGTAAATACCTTATTTATTAAATAATAATCTCAGTGTAATTACTTTATATTATTCATTCATTACTCAATGCTCGGCGTTATTCTTATCAATCAAGATTATCATAGAGTATTGCAGCCCTCGAGAAAACCAATCGCTTTACTAGTTTGGAAAGTCGAGCAGTTCTCGCTCAGATCATCTGCTTGCGCGGAGACAAAGAGTAAAAGAAGGAATCAAAAGGTCACAGTATGGAATATATAGGCGAAGAAAGAGCTGAAAAGCACGACGTGCTGCGAGAGTTATGAAGAAAAGGAGGAAATAAGAACGACGCCGTATATATGTATATTATCTGTGCAAGCAGTAAGTATCGAACGAAGAGAACAGGTTAAAATTAGCAGAATCGTAAGTCTCTCGCTGCTATTGCATAGACTGTATATATATACTGTCAGTGACTTTGCTGCAGCAGAGTATACTGCCGTAACGTAACTCGCATTAATGAGTGCATAAACGGTGTATAGTCTTTCAGTTCACGCGCACCGTCGAGAGAGAAAAGAGAGATAGAGTTGACTGATAAAAAAAAAGAGCGTCAGTCGAAAGTGTCGTTGCCGGAGTACGTATAATATAACTATACCAGAGCCGCGCGACATAATATACGTCTCGCGAGAAAGGGAAAATGGAATAGACGTGAGATAAATGGTAATTTTCACACTGTTTTTGTTCGCGCTCGCGCCGTGCGCGTCCAGGCTTGTAATGCACGTCGGCACGCGCTGCTCCCGCCAGCGTCGACTTTCTTTTGGCTTTCCACGAAGATGACTGCCTGTGCAGTGTGTGTATGTGTCTGTATGTGCTCCGCCAGGAGCTCGAGATCGTCGCGCGGAGATTATGACGACACGATTCCGTAACGGGTTATATATTATACAAATGGCACGCGATCGCTGCAACAAAGAATACAGCGAGTTTGATTAGTTAATTGGTTAATTAAACATCTGATACAGAAGCACAGTGCGAAGAGAGTAAAACGGAGAGAGATGGAGAAAAACACATCCGCAAAGAACTTTCTCAGATGGATCAGCGATATAAGCTCGCTCCCTGCGAATTTGCCACGGTGCTGCTACTGCACGAATACACCAGTTGCAGAATGATGAGCAGAGTTATCGGTGATAGCGAGATTTGAGGGACCGAAAAAATCCACTCGTAAATATGTTACATTAACAAAATTAATCACTGCATAACAGAGAATACTCTAACTCATTCATAAAATGTATAATTTCATGAACAATAGTGAAAAATTGCCCTGGGCAAGCAGACTTTGGTGATGCAACAGTCAAGAAGTTTCATTGCTTTAATTTTTTGTCAATGTATACAAAAAATTTTTCAGCATTTTTTGTTCTTTTTAAGTATTCAGCTAATACCCGATTCATTTATTTTTTCTTGCTAATCAATAATATCATTTATCAAAATATTTCATTTTCTCCAAAATGTTTTCAAAGCTCTAAAAAATGATTGAGTGAGGATTATCTGTACTACAGTCAAGTCATTTGTTTGTGCTACTAGGAAAAAAAATCGAATAAATAGAGAAAATAGAAAGAAAAGTAGATATTTTCATTTGCTTATTAGTGAACCGTGTTCGGCCGAAAATATACCGCATTTCAAAAATAAGTTATGGGCCTTATTCCGAGTCTCAACAGAATTTAAAATATCTTCTAAAATTAAAGCGTACTATTATTCGATAGGAAAAATAATCGAACAAGATACACAGGAACGTGTATTTCAAAAATTACTTGGGCTTTTATTTAATCTCTGATTTATATTACTTCGTAAGGGAGTTTCTCGAAAACTAGAATAAAGACATCTAGCAGTTGATGGCGGTACTACACGTATTAGTCAAGGTAAACTGACCTTTATCTTCGTTCATTGATATTACATGAATCTTTTCTATTACTCTCATACTTGGTTAAATTGAAAATTTGTTTAAATAGACAAAACGAGAACCTCCGATCGGCCTATCGCTTGTAAAAATAGAGATGATGCTAAAATCTAAATTTTTACAATATTATAAAAAAGTGTTTAAAAAGTATTCCAAACACATATTGCATATTATTTAACATAATCAACCCTTCACTCAAAAATAATAAGCATATATTCCTAGTGGTTTACTCAAATCAAGTTTCAAAAAATCTTGAAAGGAAAGACACTGACTTCGTTATGCTCTGTATTATCATGCGTCTTCAAAATCCTGCATCGATCCGATGGCACACGATTGAATGATTTACATATACGATAAAATTATTACATCAAGGAAAATAAAAACTTACTTTTAATTGTTCGAAAACCCTTATTTCGGTTGCTGGGTGCCACGTTAAGAATCGATTGTTTACGGCATTTTATTGACTCGAGACAAGCTGTATTTTCATTTGCCTGAAATGAAGTTGCGATCGCGCTGAAACCACACGGGTATAAGATCGCTATGAAAATGCCATTAAGAAAGTTGCTACAAGTGGCCACAATCATATTATGAATATTGAATGTAAACAACTTTTACCGAAGATGATATCGTATTATACGCCCTGGACTCGCGAAGACGCGTTCGCGTTTCACCATTTGCTCGTCGATGTAATACTTTTAATATACCTACGCACCGCTTCGCATCTTGATACTGTAACTTTGGCAGTTGTGCAATTGGCGATCGAATTCGTTCGTTCGAGCTTTCATCGGTTTGTCAACGCTGACTCGCGGTTATGAATTAGGCAGACGATCGGATATTTCCGGTAAATTGCCGAAAGCTTACTTTGATCGATTCTCCATAAAGCACTTATTCCATCTGCTAGCTCCGATTTGGAATAAATAATCAACGTTTGAACTTTTACGCGGGAATTATCAATCAACAATTTCGTAATGCTCGCCATCACTCGCTCATATATCTTATGGTATACATATTACGAGGCGCGGGCATTTGCATCCGCGCACTAAATGAATTTATTACTCCATTATCCGTCGCGGAGAATTCCAAGGATATACACTGCGCTGCGCTGCGATGAAGTACAGCAACGCCCAACGCCCCTCCCTTTCTTTCTTTTTTTTTTTTTTGTACCTTCGCGACTATATCGCTGTGACTCTCCACATGTATTATATGCATCGTTCGTCAACTGCCGCGAGTATATTATGCGTACCGCATGCGATATAGGCCACGCGTTTAACAATGTCACGGGTAATCTCCCAGCACTTTTTTACGGATAGGTGCCGCGCAACCTTGATAAATATAAAAGCCGCAACAGGTGACTTTTTTTGCGACGGGGAAGATTTCTTTGAGAGGCCTCCGTCGAGTAAAGGACAATTGCTAACATCATGTCTGGCGCGCGTCGGCCGAGAAAGTACACAATTATTATATTATACACTCTGAATAAATACAAGGCCAAAAAAATTGAATTGTTCCACGATGCCGATCCATTGAATTTCTCTCGTTTTTCCTTAGCTGCCCACACGATCGTGGTACAACACGATATCTCGTCGATCCGACGATATTAACAGGTATATCAGTCAACGAGAAAGGCCGGGGATAAAAAAATGAATTACAAGTTAAGCCATTACGCGGTCGTTTATCTTTTATAAATGTAAACTATGGTTTTTCGCCGATGCACCGCGTTGTATGGCGTTGTACAGCAGCGAGTTTTATTTTTATTTATGAGACTTTCTCTTCAACGCGGTAGTAAAAGTCGAGGAAGTATCGTATGATTACGGTATTATTCTTCGTGAAAATCGGATTAATGATAATCATTGGACATTTTAATTTTTTTTATGGTTCTTCATGATTTTTTCGCAAGTTTCTTACAAAGCTGATGATTTGAAAAAAAATTTATTTGCATTAGTGTCATCGAGGAAAATATAATTTTTCGTTGAATTGTTCGATAAATTGTCTATTCGATTGGATGTATAGCTAGAAATTAAAATTCAGAAAAGTGGGAGACAATAATGCCTTACCAATATGGGAAAATGTTTCAATTTCACTGAGTAGCAATAAACTTTCCGTAGTTTTATTAAAATATGCACTAAAGCTTTTGGTAAATTAGTATAATGATAATTACGTTTGTTTTTTTGAAGCTGCGCACATGAAATATATTTTCAAATATTTCAAGGTAAATTTTTCCATTAAACAATTATCTCTGTGAATCCTCTATTGAAAGATTTAACCACAAATAGGAAAGACAACCGATACCTAAATTACACGCAGAACTGATGTTTTGGCTGCTTCGATGTGACATTTCAGCTTTCAAAATCGAAAGCTAAAAATGACATCTTCCTGAATATCTTTTTTTCTCGAATGCACTAAAAATTCAAAAGGAAAAATTCATTTAAAAAATCAAAGGAATTTTACAATAGTCCGTATACAAACGTAAAATCGATGGCAATAATTTCAACTCCACAGTGCCATGTGCATTCGGTGAAATGCAATCTGATGTATGTATTTTTCGGCGTTGCACTCGCGAAAAAGCAGATAAACACGGCCGAATGTAAGGTTAAATGCACAGCGCGCGCTACTGCGCTTACACGATTAATTGCTCAAAACGGCATGAGTAATTTGCCACCTGTGTAAACTGGCGCATTTATCGATTTTCTATAATATCACTTTATTTTTCTCTTTATCAATCTTTTTAACGATCGCTTTTATCAGCGGAGCCAGGCGTTAACGCCGGATACGGCTCGATTCGGCATTTTTTTTTCAAATCTCTCTCGGCGTTGCAGTGCAATAAAAAAAAAAGAACAATATTAATATTTCGTGAAAATAAGAGAGAAAATATAAAAAAAAACAAAAGTAACGTCACGCGAACGTGAAAATATGTTACTTTACCATCTCGTCTTAGTGACTTGCTTATCGCTGGTTTCGAGCGAGCTATCGAAATTGGACACAGTTTACGAGTGGAATTACATAGATTTTGCCTGGGATTCGCCGGCCGAAAGAGAAAAGGCGGTGAAAAATGAAAGTTACGATTTTACGCGCATATTACCCGTGGACGTCGACGTGTATCGAGGTAAAGATTTACAATTTTCTTTTTATACTAAGCTATTTGAAATGCGATTATTTTTATTGACTCATATGCGAATATCCCTGCCTCATGCGGTCGATATATAAACATCAAGATGGACGAGTATTCGTTACGATGATCGGTATGCATGGGGTACCAGCTACTTTGGGTATTGTGACCGATGTCAAGGGTCCATCCGGGCCGCTGATAAAGCCTTACCCAGATTGGTCCTGGTTCAAGGAGAATAACTGTGATTCTATCAGAAATGTGCACAGAATAGCGGTAAGATATTATAAACTTGAAATTGAGTCAAAATTTTTTCAGAGCGTTGACGAATAGTTTTATTTTTTTTATTTTAGATAGATAAGTGCGACCGATTATGGGTATTAGATACTGGTTCACGCGAGGTCGATAAGTCCGACTGTCCAGCTCAGCTATTGACATTTGACCTTCGAAGTGATAAATTGATCCAACGCTTAAAAATACCTAATCACATAGCCAGAAATAAGCAGGGAGATACACTTTTGGTCACGCCGATCGTCGAAACTAATGGCGAAAAGTGCGAAGACACGATCGTAAGCTACGAAATTCGAGACTTTGACAATAAATCTATCAGAATTAATTCCAACAAAAATGTGTCTGTATACAGGTCTACATGGCTGACCAGCTGGGCGAGGGTCTGGTCATCTGGAACGGGGTGAGAATCTATCGGCTGGACAGTCCGATATTTCAGCACGAACCGAGCGCCCAGCGCATCACAGTCGGCAACCACAGCATCGATTACTCCGGTGGCATCGCCGCCATGGCCATTTCGCCGCGGCTCTTTCACGACGAGCCACGACTCCTCTACTTTCACGCTTTGGCCTCGTACACCATCTACGCGACGAATTCGCAGATACTGAAGCGCAGCACCTTCGGCGACACCATCAGATTCACCGGAGCCGAGAATATACTGAGCAGCCAAGCCGTGGCTCAGGCGTTCTCGTCGAACGGCACCCTCTTCGTCGGCATGACCCGAGAGATGTCGATATGCTGCTGGAATCGCTACAGATCGCCCAAACTCAAGAATATAGTGCGTAATGCAATAACTAAATGAGATAATTTTTTATTCGGCCTAAAGTAACGGATGTAAATTTATTTCGAAGCGAAACGATAATTTCTGTCTTCTTCGCACATATTTTTTTTCAAGGTCGCTCGTTATGCAAAAGCCTCGAAACTAAGTCAATTTCCGATTTTTTTATTTGTTTCTTCGCATTTTATTTTTATTTTTTTGAAATTCCAAACACACACTCGCTTGAAATAACACTCGCGAATCTCGACGGGGCGACAATTTCAGCGATAATATTTCTCTTGACAGATAACCATTGCGCAAGACAATGAGACGCTACAGTACACGAGCGGCTTGAAAGTCATACAGCCGAGCGAGCGAAACCCGGAAGAGGAGCTCTGGCTGCTGACGAACAAATTCGTCGAATTCCAATTGGGCAAGCTGGACGTGGACCGAGTGAATTTTCGCGTACTGAAGAAGTCCGTGAGAGAGCTGGTCGACGGCACGAGATGCGATTTGCCGCCCGGCACGAGAATGGCGCTCGAACAGCACAATAGCCTGATAGAAAGTAGGCTAATCGTCACTAATTAACTCTCGCACGGCCCTCGTAATATGAAATAACACTAACTCGTTTTTTTAATGAATCCACGCTACTCGACGAAAGGAAAGGGGGAAAAAGCCACCGAGACTCCGATCACACGTACATATGTGTCGAACGTCGATCTTTGTAATGCCATCGGAAAGGAAAATCGTATAACTCGATTATGCAACGTTAAATCGTCGCATGTAGCGGTTGTTATGAGCGAAACGTGACAAGCAGTTGTCGGGCGATTTGAGAATTCTATCGCCATTATAATTTGCACATATAAATACATGCACTTAAGAGTTATAAATAAATTTAGCTTAAGCCCCATCTTGTGTGTCTTTTATCATTCTCTACTTTTCCGAGCTCGTAATTCATACGTTAATGAACGCGTGCGACTGCCATCATTAATATTATTCCCGTATTGTTTTTCGCGCATTATCAAACCGAATATGTATAAATGTAATTCCGATACAAAAGAGTCGAGGGTTATATATCTCGTGTTTTTATTACATTATTGCTGTGATTGTTCGCGTATAATATGTATAATATATCGCGGTCTGCAATATGCGCCGATTTGAATGCAGACAAGGCTAAATCGTGACACTGGTTTAAAATTTATATATTTTCTTGAAAACATGCGCACAACGGCCATTGGCTATCTAGTTGGCAGTGAGAGAGAAACGTTTGTAGCTGCAATACACACGCGTTAAGTTTCGATAATAATTGCCTGCGTCAATACTCTGGGGCTGAAAATTCGAAAATTATCTAAGCTCTCGGAAGCAAACAAAACAAAGCGATGCATCTCATTGTAGAGTTGCTTATACTATTGAGTGCGTCATGTGGAGTTTTATCTAGCCAACTGGACACGGTTTACGAATGGAATTACATCGAATATCAATGGCCATCGACCTTGGCCAGACAACAAGCCATCGACAATGGAACTTATCATTTTGCTCGTGTCCTACCCATGGATGTGGACGTGTCGAGAGGTAAGTGCTTTTTAATTGCGTCATCGTGAAAGCCAATTAACAATTTTACTTTTATTTTTAAGATGGTCGAGTTTTCGTGTCGTTCCTCGGCATGGACGGAGTACCCGCCACCTTAGGTGTAGTGAGCAACCAGAGAGGACCGTCCGGGCCGCTAATTCAACCTTATCCGAACTTTGGGTGGTTCGAGCGAGGAAGCTGCAATGCCATTCAAAACGTCTACCGAATAGCGGTATGTATACAATTTCACATTTATATTTCCTTCAATTTTAAAAAATTATTTTTGCGTGCCATTACAGATAGACGAATGTAACAGGTTATGGGTATTGGACACGGGATATCTAGAAAATACACAGCCTTCTTGCGAAGCTCAATTGCTCGTTTTCAATCTCAATACCGATCAGCTGATCGCGCGTATAAAAATTCCTAACAACATCGCAAGAAACAGCGAGGGCGACACTCTACTTGCGAATCCCATCATTGAAACGTACGGCTCCAAATGCGAAGATACCACGGTAAAACAATTTTTATATTCATCAAAGACATTCCATCGAAATTTACGATTTGAATTTTCAAGGCATATTTGGCCGATCCAGTAGGCCGAGGTCTGATCGTCTGGAAGAACGGCCGACTGACGCGCTTGGAAAACCCCATCTTCAATCCGAATCCCAACGCCACCAACATCGTCGTCGGCAATCGCAACATGACCCTGAGAGGCGGCATCGTGGCGATGGATCTGTCGCCGCAAATATTTCCCGGCGAGTCGCGCTTCCTCTACTTCCACTCGATGGCGTCTTACGATCTCTATTACGCGGATACGGCGAGCTTGAAGAGAGCCAATTCGGGTAGCGAACTTCGTTTTCAGGGTCAACAGAATCTGCTGCCGAGCAATGCCCCGGCGCATGCCTTCGCCTCGGACGGCACTCTGTTCACCGGCTTGACCAGAGAGATCGCCATAGCTTGCTGGAATCGTTACAATCCCATGAGGCGGGACAATGTGGTAAAATGAAGAAAAGTTAATTAACTCTAAGAAGAGTCATTACAACGAACTTTTATTTATTATTATTTGAACGTGCTCGGCAGCAAATAGTGGCACAAGACAGAGAGCGTCTGCAATACGTCAACGGCTTGAAAGTGATACCGGCCACGAGACAGGGACAGCAAGAGGAACTGTGGGTCATCGCCAACAGATTTATTGCCTTTCAGCAGAGCGGCTTGGACGTTAACGATGTCAATTTTCGCATAATGAAGAAGCCCGTAAAAGAACTGACTCGGGGCACGAAATGCCAATTGCCCCGCCAGACGCAGTCGAATCTCCAAGACATCACCAACCAAAATAATCCCCAGCTCAATTTTAATAATAATAATGAAAGAAAGAGAACATTGCACTCGTATGTATAGAAAAGATCGTTATGCTATATGTAACAAGTACGACAGACAATTATCTCTCTCGAGATTACTCGAAACTCTTTTTTTTTGCGTTTCCACAAGGATATGTAATAAAATTATTTATTAGCTTCTATATACGCCTCGCATAATACACATTTCTCCGAAAGGAAGTAATAACTTTAATAATTTCTTAGTGAACTGAAAAAACCCGCTATAAATCATCCGAAAACATTATCAAAGCGAATGAGGGAATTACTCGTTCTCTATGCCGACGACGAACCGAGGAGTGACGAGAGCTCCCCCAAGAAACGCATGATAAGAGCGATAATTCGACTCTTGGAAAACCACAACAAACACAGAGAGCGCAATGCGCACAGAATCTTCGCGCGCAGTTTAGGCAGCAGCCGAGGTAGAGGAGGCAGAGAGAAGTTAGATCAACGCGCGCGGCAAAACGCCCAAAGTAGCATTCCCCGGGCGTATTATGTATGAGAAAAGTGAAACTAACTGTAACTGACAGTGACTTGGTCGGTGTATATGTCAGTATATACGTGTGTGAGTCTGTGTCTGTGTGCGCGTGCAAAGTGAGAAGCTTTCGTGTATTTAGTTGTTGCTCGCGTCACTGCGCACGTTTTGTGTTGCCGCATCTTTTCCTCTTTTTTTCGTCTATCTTTAGCGCGAATGCCCATACCAATTCATCTATTACAATTAGATGATTCCAAATAACAAGCGTAATTACGTCGAGATCGTACGTCTCGTCGAGTGGACGTACCGTCACAGCTGGTTTTTTTTATCGTCGGTGGCGGCGGCAGCAGCAGCGAGAGCAAACGCTCATTTCACACTCGATCTGCGCATATCGAATTTCAAGCGATATTTTGCAGATTCAAAATTACGATACTGATCGTACTTAAGCAGTCCGATGACCGTCGCGTTCGGCTATTCCGATTATTGAGCGGAGAGTTACTCTTCGGGCTGGTTCTGTGAGTCGCGGGAGCCAGCGGCAGAAGCAGAAGCAGCAGCAGCAACGGCCGCAACAAGCGTGTATTCGACGAAAATTCAAGAGGCTTGTAATACTCGCCGCATAATAATTTTGCGCCAAGTTATTACTTTTTTTCTTCTTACTCGGCTGCAGCTGCTTTCGAAACTCCAGGTATATATTATGCACAAAATTTTATTATTGAAAAATGTATAAGTCTAACGAGAAATTAAGTGGATATTATGTAAGCAGCGATTGGGAGAATTCGGTCGCTGTTTATAATATACTTTGCGCGTTATTTATTTTATTTTTATTTTTTTTAATCTACCGCACGGCACCAAATAAAAAAGCTCGACGTATTTATCTATTTTACAGCCATGAAGGCCCGAACGACGACTAATGCTATGCTGCTGTGCGCCTGTATTTTTGCCATTACTTTGACCAATGTCTCGGCGCGGGCGAGACTCGACACAATTTTTGAATGGCGATACATAAATTACACGTGGGACTCCGATGCACAGCTGCAGGATTTCATGCGAAAAGGATATTACGAGCCCGCGCAAATTTTACCCATGGACGTGGATGTGTCCAGAGGTGAGGCAACGACAGTCACATTTGTTCAATCGCGTATCGTGTTTATCAACGTTCGAGTGTAACGCTATAGACAATCTTTGTTTTTCATCTCCGTTACAGATGGACGAGTATTCATAGCCATGGGTGGCAGATCCGTGGGCGTCTCCGCGACACTCGGCGTCGTGACGAATGTGCAGAGCCCTTCGGGGCCGCTGATCATGCCCTATCCAAACTGGTCATGGTTCGAGAAGGACAACTGCAATTCTCTCACGAACGTGTATAGGATAGCGGTAAGTCTCTGTGTACATACAGTAATGTAGTTAAATCGCGAGCGTAATCTATAAAAAAAACTTGACGAGTTCTTTTTCAGATAGACGAGTGCAACAGAATGTGGGTGCTGGACGCAGGATTTTTAGAAATACCCGCTGGCACCAAAAACGTTTGTGAAGCGCAATTGGTTGTCTTCGATCTGAACACCGATACCCTCCTCCAAGTCATCAAGATACCCGACAGTATCTCGAAAAACCAACTCAAAGTCGGCATGCTGGCTAATCCGATCGTCGAGACCTCGGGACCTCAATGCGAATATACGACTGTACGTCGAGTTCACTTTTTGTCATCTTCCTTTTTTTCGAGGAAGCGCGAGGTGTGATTTTTCCGCAATAATAACGATAACACCACGATTTCATTTGTTTCAAGGTTTACATGGCAGATGTGCTGGGAGAAGGTCTCGTCGTTTACAACGACAACAAGATCTACCGTCTGTCGCATTCGTCCTTCCTCTACGACGACTCGCTCGTAAACGTGACGACGGGCAAGCACAGAATGACCCTCGGCGGCGGCATCCTTGGAATGGATCTCTCGCCAAGGCTCTTCCCCGGTGAGGCGCGTCACCTCTACTATCGTCCGCTCGTCTCGCTCGACCTGTTCGCGGTGCACACCAGCCAGCTGCGAGGCAAAGAGATCCTGTCCGGTATACCGTTCGCCACCTCGACCTCGGCCAAGAACATCCTCACGAGTCACGCGGTGGGGCAGGCCTTCTCGTCCGAGGGTACGCTCTTCCTCGGTATGACTAAAGAATTGGCCATCGGCTGCTGGAACAGATACAGGGCACTGACGAGGGAAAATTTCGTGAGTTGACGCTGTCTTGGATACAGAACATTGGCAGTAATCCGACTTATATTTATCTCGTTGAATTTTTCTCTCATGCTCAGGAAATAATAGCTCAGGACGACGAGCAATTGGAGTACGCCAACGGCGTGAAAGTGATTCCCGTTTCGCGGGTGGGCGCAGTCGAGGAGCTCTGGGTGCTGACGAATCGCTTCATTGGATTCCAGCTGGGCAAGCTCGAAGAGAACGAAGTCAACTTCCGCGTGCTCAAAAAGTCGGTGCGAGAATTGGTCGAGGGCACGAGATGCGACCTGCCGGAGTACACCAGATACGCCTTACAAAAAATACAGAACGATGGAACATTGCTCTTCACTAATTGATTAATTGTGTCGCATTTATACACAGTATATTATAATGTATTAAGCAAAGGATGAAAAGATCGATGGACTTTCGATGATGTATCGCACGAATAACTTGTATTACTACTTTATAAGCAATATATTGTGGATCGATGTGTATCTTTAGTGTATGTTATAAAGTGTATAAAGTTTCAATAACGCATGGCCGTACGTATCTGTCAATAAGTAGCGCGTGTACACGCAGTTTTTTACTAAATACAACTTTGAAATAAAAAATCTAACCCGACGAGTAATTATATGAACGATCGCCTTTACCGTTGACGCACACCTATTGCGATATAGCGTACAACTTGCGCATTTTGAACGAAAACTAGCTTAAATATTTGAACCTTTCAAAAAATAAATAACAATCGAATCCCTGGCGGAAATGACCAACTTTAATATCATGACTTTGTAGACAAAAAATTATCATTTAAAATGTTTTTAAACGGATTAACAAATACTTTAAGCATCCGCCACTAGATGGCGAGTACTTTTATCTATAAACCTGCAAATGAAAAAGTTAAAATCATCGTATAAATCAAAGCAAGGTTTATAAAAATTATAACTGTGACGTTTATATTACTAATACATTACCTCCGAGCACAGCAGCAGAATCGGTAAATGCATCAATGAAAGTTTGCTACCAAAACATATAGTGCAATTATAAAATATCATCGGTGCGCGCACGCGTGCAAACTGAGTCAATCGTGATTCCCTCCTAAACCTGTCGGCGCGCATACACGATGATACAGCGACAGCAAAAAAAGGTGCGCGAACCACTGCAAATGCTCGAGCGTGTGAGCGTGTGTGTGTGTGGAAGAGGTGAAAGGCTCGCGCGCGAGTAAAATGTAGATATTATAACGTGCACTGTGCGCGCGGGGACCGTACCGCCGTTGCCCTTTCTTTCTTCCTCTCGTGCTGCAGGTTATAGCGACTACTTGTACTACTGCCATGCGATACGAAAGTGTAAACTTTTCTCTTAATTTCTATATGTATACCTGACTAGACGACTAAAATGACATGCGCTTCCCAGTTCTCGAGGCTTCCCAGTTGTGTTGTTTCGATCTGTATGTGTATACAAACATAACATACGTATAATATGCGTTTGGGTATTACGACGCTCGCGGAGCTTCTCGCGCCTTTTTTTTTATCAGCCGTTCACGCACATTACTCGCGTAACGACTCTTGTCGCGCGCGCGCGTGTGTGTATTATTATTACGCAAGTTACATGCAGCCTCGGCGCTGACATCCTTTTGACGGGTTTAATATTGATTTTTCTTTTACTGACGCTACAACTGGGTGTCTCACCCAGAGAGCTAAAACTGAAAAATTGTACAGTGCGCAGTTTGACGCGTGTGTCCATAGTACCTATATGTACATAGTCGAGCTTGTGAAAAAAAACCCTGGCCGATTAGCTCGAGTGCAGCTGCTGCTGCTGCTGCGGTGGCCTTTAATTTAGAAAAACGCACAATTTCCCCTGGTACACGCGCGGAGCGGCAGCGCGCTAGGAGAGGCGATCGATCGAATTACAAAAATGTTTTTTTTCTCGCTGCTATACGGACTCGGGTTTGCAGCAGCAGCAACACGCAGTGCATTGCAGTGCACAAACTTGCGCGCGAGCGCGAACTGGGAGCATACAGCGATAGCAACATAAGCCGCTCTCGCTGCTATGCGTGCGTGTATAATCAGACGTCAATCCGATGAAAAATAAACTTCGCCCGACGAATCGTGCAAATATACGGTATATATTCTATTCGTACTCGAGTGCTCCGGCTGCAGCGCCGCAAGCGCAACTTTCAAACGATTCGATTTCAAACAAACCGGATATATGCTGCGATTTGTATTTTATACATGCATAATACGAGCGATATATACCTGAACGCGCGCGTTTATCCATTTTTTTATTTTCGGGTAAAATCACATGTTATTATGCGCCCTGATCGGCAATATCGTAATGGCAATTATTCATCGATTACTTGGATATGATCGAAAATTGGTGCAACGGGGAGGCTCGATCGCGCCCATACGGTTAGAGGTCACAAAACGTTTCTGGGACACGGTCGAATTGTATGCGTTCGTATACGTATTAAATATATATCAAACGAATATATCCTCGCTTTCCCTGTAGCACCATGTACTCGCCCCATGAGCAGGTATATTTATACTACAAAAGTACACGCATATACACACACTCGTATGTATATACTCGCGCATAATACTCGTGCACCGAAGCCACTCTCGATTATATTGTATAAACACACATGTGTGTGCAGGCCGACCTTGAACAATTGGTAGCGCTCCGAGCTAATAAACTCGCTCGCTCGGAGCCTGCGAATTTCATTAAAATTTCTGTGTTAAATACAATCTGCGCTATGTCGCTGCGAAAGGATAACCGGTGCGTACTACCCTATTTCTCTCTTTTTTTTTTACTTTATTTATACCTTGCATTTTACAAACTAAGTAAGAAACGAGGCTAAGAAAGTGTACCGATTGTGACATCATACTCGTAATATAAGAGTACATTCGCCAAGTCGTGCGAGGGCGCGATATTATTTAATAGTCGCAACTCGAAGCAAAAAAGTGAGTATATCGTGACGTAAGGAAGAAATTTGAATTCCCTTGATTGACGACTCGCCGATAAAGATCACCCGCGCGACTGCCTCGGCCGAGCGAGGAACTGGTTCGAGTGCGTTTACGTGCGCCGCGGCAGATCTCGTTTTACATTGTGTTCGTTGTACAGTGCGCAGAGCTCGCACGCGGGACTCGAGGCAGGAGAAAAAAAACTCTTTCACGCGCGCGCGACTTTGTTTTGTGAATTTACGCGCGATACAATTGCATCGAAGTATTATATATACTTATCCGCTGGCGCGCAGGATCGAGCTTTATTTGGCCAAGTAGATTAATTATCAAATCGAATTAAAAATTCTCGTATCGGATTATGGCTGTGTGGCAATTAAAAACGACAAGCAATATACACGTACACGCTCACCGAGAGACTTAGCAGCTAGACCTCGTGTGATAGCGTATACAATTAAAACGTGAACTGTAACCTACATCGTAGTGGAACGCAGAAAAGCCTGCTAAAATAGCTTTTTATTATGTTATGATGTTGATCGGCTTAAATAAAGCCAGGACACTCTTGTAAAAAAGCTCGAACTAGTCAACTTTGAAGCTCAAATATAAAGAGCTAAAATTAATCTCGACATCGTTTCACGGTCGATATTTCTTGTATAATTAGATCTTGTAAGACTCCAACAAAGGTCGAAACACATTGGCTTACAAAAAGGCCAACGATATTAACACGAGCTTTGTTCGACGCCCAAAATGATCGGGCGTTAAAGTAGCTCTACAGAATATACCTACGTATCTAACATCAGCCGAGGTAATTTATCCAAAGACGCGGAAACCAGGAAAAGAGCTTGCATTATACTTATCGATACAAGGCATGCTTGCATTACAACGGCTCAATAAATGCGAGTGTGCAAGGTGGAGAAAGGACGTTATCGCCTCGGGTCGCACTAGCCTCGTCGACGACGACGACGACGACGACGTGTTTCGCGGCTCTCAGTGCAACACAGCAGCAGCAGCAGCACATGCACTGCACTTTGCGATGTATTATACACCGTGATATGAAAGTAGTTTAACGCCAGAAACAGGCGTGAAGTCGGTGAACTATGGAACCAGGGAAAATTTTCAGAAAAACTCTATGAGCCATATTAAGAGAGAAAAAAAAGATTAAAAATGCAGTTTTATCCTTCCTTAGAGAAGTAACTGCGCCTCTCCTCATGATTGGTCGGAATCTCACGTCGGAAAACTTAAATGTGGCGTTTGCTTAAATGTTTATATTTGTAGGTCATTAGTTATTTTAATTGCACTTGATTAGTTGGCGTTCATATTACTAGCTGCTTCAAAAGGACTATTGTAATCCTGGTTAGCATGGGGATCATGAAGACGCTCGGATGCTACATGCAAGAGTTCGGAAAATAAACAAACAGCAAAAGCACGTGTTTCGCTAGTATTGACAGCCGAAGGTTATGATGACGGCTGAAAAATACATGAAATATGAGCACAGAATCGAAAGAGTCCTTTGACTTGAAAATCGCGATTATTACGGGTCCTAGATTCAACGTGATGTAGTCGAGTTCGTAAAATTGGACATTAGTAAACAACACTGACAAATTTTTGTATGTGTATTTTTGTATGGGGCTTGATAATCGCAAATTTTATAAGGTTTAATATCTACTTCCTACACTTAAGTTCGTAAAATTCGACATCAGTTCAAAAATCTTACTAATTTTTTATTGATTTTTTTCTGGGCAGCACGAGGTGTCAGTTAGATGCAGCCTCGTCGAAAACGAGTCGTTTCACTTAGAAATCGCCTTTTTTAAGTTAAACGACTCGTTCTCGAAGACGGCGCTCCTAGCCGACGTCTCATACTGCCCAGAAAAAAATCAATCAAAACTTAGTCAGATTAAAAAATTAGTAAGATTTTTTTACTGATGTCGTGATTATCAAGTAAAACGACGCGTTCTCGAAGATGTTGAACTTAGGCGACGTATCGAATAGCTCAGAAAAATATGAATCAAAATTTTGTCAGTTTGGTTTACTGCTATTCAATTTTACGAACTGGAATACATCACGTAGAAATTAACACCCGTAATAATCGCGATTTTCAAGTCAAAGGACTCTTTCGAGTCTGCGCTCACATTTCACTTATTTTTCAGCCACCGTCATAACCTTGGATTTGACCTTGAACATAACCTCAAAGCTACAGCAACCAAATAATCGAATTTCCAATGGAAACCCCTATATTCTATTGCAAATTTGAAAAGAGCGGAAAATTTTACGTTGAAAAATATATTTCGATTTTTTTTCAAGGCCATTTTAAGGGCGCTACAGGCTCAAATAAAACCCCGATTTAACCTAAAATTAAACTCAAGTAAAAACTTCATTTTCTAACTGTAGCGCCCCCAAAATTACCTGGAAAAAAAAACAAAATACATATTTAGACGTTTTATTTTTCGCTTTTTTCAAATCAGAAATAAAAAATTTGGGTTACCGTATAAAAACTCGATTTTGACTGGTTGCAGCTTTTAGGTTATGTTCAAGGTCCAATCCAAGGTCACCATTGGATTCCCCATGAAAAAATACGTCGGATATAAGGTTTTAGATTTTTTTTCCGCATATTTAGCCCGCTTTTAGGAGGTTTCCATACTTTTGTGACACCCTGTATAATAATATAGCACTTGCGCGTATATACTGCACCGCGCGCGCCGCGGCTACAGTGGCGGGGCGCGAGTCGCGCACACATATATACTTTCACGCTCTCAGCTGCAGCAGCGCAGCTAATATTTCCTCTACAATACACGCGGAGAGCTCGTCAGAGAGATCCATTCAAATCTGGACGCGCGAACGAACCCGCCTGCAGTCCGCACTAGGACGACAACCAAGACGTAGAGTGTGCATATCTCTATACGTACGAGCGTACAGTAGTTCGGTGTGCAGCGTTGAAGGTGCATATATCTAGTGCTACGAGCTGAGGTTTCTTTTGTGGCTACATACGCGGAGCAACGAAAAGCTCGAGAAAATGTGAACTCGGTATTTTGTCGCGTCGTCGCATCGTGCAACTTTTTTTTTTACTTTTTTTTTTGGTTTTTTGGTCACTCAACTACATTACAAACGAATAATCGTTCATTCCTCGTGCTTGTATATACAGTGCGCGAGTATTGGGAGCACGCGAACGACAAAAAAAAGAAAGATCGAGAAAAGTTGAAAGAGTAAAATTTTTTTTCAAAAGTGCCCACCGCGCGAGTGTCGGCGGCTGCGACCGTAGAGAGTAGTGAAAAAGACAATAACAACAGTAACGACGAGCGAGCGAGCGCAAAGTGTGTAAAATGCACGTGGCGTTGTTAACAATTCTTTCGCCGCTGTCGCTGCTGCTACTGTGGATTCAAGCGCCATCGGGCGCCCGCTGCGAATTGCAAACTGTTTACGAATGGAAATACCTGGATTTTTTATGGGATTCCGAGGAGCATAAGCTGGCTGCCGTTAAGGCGGGAGAATACAATTTCTCGCGCGTTTTGCCCTCCGATCTGGCGGTTGCCAAAGGTATTTACCTTCTTTCTTTTTTTTCTGTTTCTTTCATTCGTTCGCGCCCCCGCGCTGCCTCGTTTGTACAACTGTGACCCAGCGGCAGCAACCCCCACAAGGATATAGCTGCTGCTGCTTGTTGTAGCCTTCTGTATACGGCTTTTCCACGCGCAGTTTTTCCCTCGTTCTTCTTTTTTACTTCTCTTATTGTTATGGGATAAAATTTTTCTCTTTTTTTGTACCTTGCCCGACGCAACGTCGCCGATTCTCCTGATTTAGATTATGCGCGCGAGCGCGAGCTTTTTAAGGCCGGGCACTTTTTTCAACTTTAATTGTGCAGGAGCGCCCGAGCCGACTCTTGTGTACGCGGACGTTTTACAAAAGAGGCCGCCGCCACCGCCGCGCGGGACTGCGGAGGATTAAAGTATAAATGGTGATTTTTATTTTTCCTCCTTCGAACGATCGCACCTAAATCTGGTTGGTTGGACATTTTCTAAATCGACTCCCGACGCGCGCGCGCATTGACAATAACTCGTTAAAAAATGTTTTACGCGCAAAAAAAGAGGAAAAAAAAGGCAAAACACAAAACATAATTAGACACGCTGGCGGAGTGAAAGCGCGAGACTATAAGCGCTTTTTTTGGTGAACCCATAAATTGAGCTACGTTTGAGAAAGGATGATGCAAGCAAAATGTCGCTTTTTTAACGCTAAAAATAGTCTCGTCGAAGCGTATCATTAGCGCAAGTATTATAGCTGTATAGGTATCTCGCTCGCGTCGCAAAGCTGAGAGCTATTAGGCTATTCTTATGGTCATCGAGCGCGTGAGACATTGCACCGAGCTGGTAGAGACTCGCTCGCATTTAGCACTTTGAGCGTTTATGCGCGACGCGTGTGCATTATAACGAGGCATTGAAAACGAGTTTGATTCTAGAAAGTACTCGCGGCGCGGGTACATATATTTATAAATCGATCTGTTTTACTAAGAATTCCTGTTTCTATATCGCACACACGCGCGTATTACACAAACGCACAATGGGGCTCGTCGTCGGGATCGCGAGCTTCGAATAATGGAATTAAACCTTCGCGACGCAGCCGCAATGGTGAGTGTATACAATATTATACAGGAGTTGCATATCCTGCACACCTCGCGAGAGCTGTGTAACAATTCCGATCCCGCAGGTAAATATATGCATACCGCGCTAATACGCCAAGCTCTACACACGCTACTATGTACAGCGAGTCCACGAGTTTCGATAAATCAATCGCGGCCGCGGCCGCGCGAGCTCGTGCTCTTACTTGTCGAATATTCGTTTATGTTTGATACAAAGTTTTATATTCCGGTTCGCGGCTAATATAACATAACGTGAATGTATAAATTGGCCTTAGACAGTTGTTATACTATGGTGTGTATATTTTTTTTTGCGCGCGATTGTAATGAATCATTTGCACCCGTTGCAAAATACCTCACGGGCTGCCGGGATAGCACATTGCGAATTATCTTATTGTTATACGAGCGAGCTTATATACTATGTATAAACGCGAGGCGGTTCGCGCATTGGCATTGACAGTACAGTAGGTATTATAATGTATACGTAAGAATGAGGAATGGATCTAGTACTCTTCGTCGTCGTCGTTGAAGCTCTTTTCTCATGGCAGTTAACAACTTCATCGCCTCGCGCGCACGAGTTACACCGCCTTCTTTATATGCCTTCGCGCACTATCTTTTCCTGCGCGTATACAATTCGTAGATGCATTAGTGTGTGTGTGTGTGTGCGTAGTGCAATAAGGTCAAGTCTGTGCGTCGTAAAGTGCGCGCGCGTAGAGAATTGCGCCGCACGCGTCTCGTACGCCCGCTTGTGCTCGTATCAGGCTCATTCGAAAAGATTACATTTAAAACACGTGGGACTGCAGCTATGTGCATTACCTCCTGTGCATTGAAATCTTCTATTATCTCGGGGAGATAATAAAAATGTATACACGCGGCGGCGGCTCGAGGTATATCTTTGCGTATATGTATTACGCTCTTGAAAGTAACACCAGGAGAGCGCGCGCGCGAGAGAGAACTCGTTTCAAAATACACTTCCCTTTTGCAGCTTGTTGTATATATACGTATAATATTTATGTGCGTGTGCAGTGCGTGTGTAGAGCGAGCATAGTTGAGCGAGAAAAAAATAACGCACGATAATCTTAAACCTACATTCGTTAGCTTCTAAAGAAAACGGAGCAGGAGGCAACAAAAATTTCTACGTGAAATATTTATAAATACGCGTGAATTAAGGAAGTTACGCGATTTAAGCTCGATCGCAATCGATACGTGTCAAAGTGATTCGATCGAGTATATACATTATTAGTTCGGGTAAAATAATGAACGAGCGATCTCACGCGGGTGTGCGCTCAACGTGCGTGACGAATAACGAGGCGCTAACGTGCAAATTGACCCTTATACGTGGCATTATACATTTAGAGGAAAAATCGCGCGTTCCACGCCGAGACAAGTCGAGTAATTGATAAAAAGGAACATTCAATTATTACCTAACGCGGCGCGCCGCTCGCGGACTGTGCACGGTGCGCGCCAGAGCATGTATATACATCTATATAGTGTAAGGCAATTCACTCTTTGCCGCGCGCGCGCGCGAGTATACACGGCGGCCGATTATTATTACTCCTGCTGCGGATAAAATTGCCTCCTTGGGCGAGCAAGTTGAATAACCCACGCTCCGCGTGGACTGTTGCTGCTGCGTGTAAACGGCGCTGACGGCTTGACATACATACCTCTGAAAACAGAAAGAAAGAAATTTCGTGTTTATTGGATTGTATACGAGTAATATACACATACATCTTTTTTTGCAATACACATCGCACGTGTCGGCTTGAAAAGCGACGCGTCTTTTTTGCGTGTCTCTATTTTTTCGTTTTTCATGTTAATTAAATTGATCGATTGACCGTGAGTGGACGCGTGATCGAGACTCAAAGAGCAGACACGCCGACATCGGCGCGCGCCGTTGATTACATTCAAATAAGCGCCGCGTTCCATTCATGAATATTCAATCACGCGTGAAAGGGGTTGGGCAAATTATTGTCTCGTGTTTTTTGGGGGATAGGAAAAGGTTTAATGGCATAACGCCGGATAGTCGCTGCGTCGATATTACCAAGATTTTGGCTCGCCTCTAACGAAAGAATGGAAAGTTAAAAAGGGGAAAAAAACGACTCTTGTTTCCGGCGATATGATGTACTCTCGTGTGAGGTACCACCAGACCTTCGTCGCCCAAGCACTACAACACATATAATGCGCTTTTTTTCTTTATTACGAGGACAATATTCCAGTCTGATAATTACGTAGTATTACTGTACAAACCTGACACACATATATAATATAATAAACGCTCGAGAGTGGAAAAAAGGAGACAAGAGCTCGGCAAAAAGAAGCGAGAAATAAATGATATCGCAAGTGCAGGTTGTGAGGTATTGAAAGCTCAACGAACTGTTACGAAATTTTGCGCGAAGACTGCGGCCTGAGCACCGTCAACGACGCGATACTTTTTCTTTTCTTTATCTGCCTTGATAGGATAATTTTCTTATAATTCATTTATTAATTTGGTTTTTTGTTTTCGTTTTAATCCACTTTGCAGATGGACGAGTTTTCGTGTCGCACATCGGTTACGCCGGTGTACCGGCGCGTCTCAGCACCGTCACGAGCCGTCTCGGCCCGAATTCGGGGCCGCTGTTAGCGCCTTATCCCAATTGGAACTGGCATCGCAACGGCGACGACGCTCCCGGCGACTCGGCGTGCTCCGGCATAACGAGCGTTTATGGACTCGCCGTAAGTATATCCCTCTCACGTATTGCTTAAAGGTGACTTTTTTTCTACCTTTTTTTATGCACGACGGTGCTGCTATTTTTGTTGGTCCTCTATTTTTTAATGCTTCTCCGACACATAAACGCACACATATATAGGCGTCACGTAAAAATTAGCCACACCTTATAGTTCGTTTTATGCTCTCGACTCCACGACTACGGCTGCTGCGTGTCTGCGTGTAAATGAGTGACATAACGTTTTGCTCTGCGTCGTTCTTACGCGGAAACGAACCTTTAACCTGATTTCGGTATTATATATGTTATGTTTTTATTTATTCTTTTTTGTCGTGTAGAACTTTTTTTTGATCTCGCTCGCCAGTTTGCAAGACGTTGGCGCTGTTGACTTTATAATTGAGACTACAACGCGCCTACCGAAATGATCGCAGGCGGCTCGAAAGTGCAGTGTAGATTTCGCAAGATTATATATAAACGATATAATATCGCGGGCAGATCGATGAAATGCGTTAACGAGTGTGTCATTGCGCGCGACGATTAAATATATATTTATGTATATAGTGTCCGCTGTATGTGTTTGTTTTTGTATCGTAATTTTACGCGCTCACGAGCCCACCTGCGACGGCATTTGTTTTTACAAGCGTTATAAGCTGCGTGCAAAAAGAAACTAGTACTCGTATTATTTTTTACTCTGCAGCACAGCATGAATTTATAGAGATCGGTATTTTAGTGCTAATTCACGACGTATAACTTTGTTATACCACGCGTACACTTTGTGCGTTCGTATGTATCGGTATGATTTCTCGAGGCGTTTATGATACCGGTCGCGACGGAAAATATTCGAGACAACGCCATTGTTTAGTCACGCCAATGCAATGTCCCGAGCATAGAAATGCAAAACCATGTGTGTGAGCTGCGATACGAATAGTAGTAACAATAGTGGTAATGATAGTACGGAAAAATCGGTTGCACTTTAACAAAAAGATCATATTTGCAACTGGTGGTAGCTAATTATTATTCAAATTCAAATTATTCAAATTTATAATTCTAAATTTCGAGGCTAACAGAATAGATCCGCCAACAGAATCTGTCGCTTGGACGGAAATTGATTGGATAAACGAAAAATTATCCATCAGGCGAATAGCAGCAGCAGTCGTAGTATCGCTGCAATTTCGTGTGACACGTGTTTTGTCAATAATTCAAACGCGCCGAAAACACGTACTTCATGCATGTAATACATATCAATCGTTCGTCACGCGAACTCCAACTCATGGCTAATATATAGCCAATTCCTATATAGTCTGCACATATAATACGTGCAGATGTATTTTGATACACAAGTACAAACACACGCGAATGATATATTCTAATTTGTTTGGGAAACATAAATCCATAACTAATTTGGTGAAATGGTAGTGGGGAAAAAAGTGGCAGAACAAAAAAAAACAAAAAAAAAAAACAATTCCGAAAGCTATCAGCTTAGAGAAATTTGATTTTGACAGATCGATCAATGCAACAGGTTGTGGGTTTTAGATACCGGGATCCCGGAAGTGCAACCGCACGCCGGCGGCGTCAAGGGCCCAGCTAAGAAGATCTGCCAGGCTCAGCTGCTGGCGTTCGACCTTACCCGGGATAAGCTAGCCAAGAGGATCAAGATACCGAATCACATAGCGCAGAACGACCAGGGCATGAGCCGACTGGTCAAGCCCATCGTCGAGACCAAGGGACAGCAGTGCGACCACACGACTGTAAGAGCTCCGTAAAAAATGCAACACCTTTGCGCTGCATACACATTTTCCATTGACAGAGTTAAAGAGAGAGAGAGAGACTGAACGGATGCTTTCGAAAAATATAGTCACGCCGTCGTGAAAACGCTATCCGTATGATATACATAAACCGAGAGCTGGAGCAACCGCGATCGAGATTGATAGATTTCACTCGGAGCTCGATATAATTAATTTCCGATTCAGGATATAGCACCGGGTATATATTTATAATATCTTAGATCTCGTCGATTATAGAAAGCACATAGGCGCATTCTCGATCGGTTGCGAAAGTATATAACCATTGTTATCTGCGGCTTGGAGGGAAAAAAATCATTCTCAAGATTATCCTGGCAGTCTGTGTATCGAATCTATTGTACTCGAATGATTTTTAATTTCAACGCGACACATCGAGCCGCTGGCTGAGTTATATGTTATATACGTATTTACGCGCTGTAGAGATCCGTACATTTCACGAATACTTAGCTACTCGGCCGATCGCGTAGACAGACAAATTTCCGCACCGCGAACGGCAGTTAATAATATAATTTTATATATTTACATCAAAGCGCTTTCACTCTATCTCTCTCTTTCTCTCAAAGTATAATTCAAATGGCAACGATAATAGCGTTAAAGCAGCTCACTTGTAATTTGACTCGGGCGCGCGCGGGCAAACCTAACTAGGCATAAACGCGGATGATGCTTACATTTTACGCCGCGGAAAAACTTTCACCCCGTGTAACCGCGTGTGTTTTGATAATGTTAAACGGCCTGGATATAATATATCGCGTTAATTAATGACGCGCACACAGGTCTACATGACGGACTCGGTGGGCCACGGCCTCGTCATCTGGAACGGCATCGGCCTGTTCCGGCTCGAGGGCGAGGTCTACAATCCCATCGACGGGGCGCGCAACATGAGCATCGGCCAGCACAGCCTGAACATCGGCGGCGGCGTCGTCGACATGTCGCTCTCGCCCAACATCTTCCCGTACGAGCCGCGCTACCTGTTCTTCAGGCCGCTGGCGAGCTACGACCTCTACGCGGCCAACACGCGCGAGCTCACGCGCAGCGTCTACGGCTATCGCATCAAGTACTTCGGCGCCAGGGACATACTGAGCTCGCAGTCGGTCGGCCAGGCTTTCTCCTCGGACGGCACCCTCTTCCTCGGCCTGAGCTCGGAGATGGCCATCGCCTGTTGGAATCGTTATCGCGAGTTGGCCAAGGAGAACATCGTAAGTATTACACGCGTATGAGTGGATTTATTGATGACATTAGGGCAGCTGCGGCGCGGCACGTGTGTGGCATTGTTGGCTGCTGCTACTGCTGCAGTTGTGTAATATCGCGTTCGCTTGATGAAAGTCGTGATGAATAAACCTCGCGGATGCCTCGTGTCGAATAAATTTCGCTCCTCGTTGTGTACGTATGTATGTATGTAGCCGAGCTTCGGTTGTACATGGCATATATGTACACACGACACGTACAAGAACACACGGGGCTTATTATTTAACGACGCCGGAAATTGATGTTGCGCTGCAGGGCGATGCTGTGCCGCTGTGTTGCGTCACATATATATTTGTATAATGCTAAAGTATGCGAGCACGTATCGTATATAAATCTCCTACGTGTGTATATAATACATCTACCTATCACTCCGCGGGCGCTTAACACACACAGTCGATGAGAACTTTGAAAGTATATTATATCGACGCGCGATCCTCGTGCACGTGCGTGCGAGTACATTCGCGAGTTTATTTTATTGCCAATTATTTTCTTGAATTCTTAATACACATTTTCTGCATCTTTCTCTCTTCCTCTTTCGCTCTGCGCGGATCGCTTATTACGGAGCATTAGCTCCGGAGCTTGTATTTATAGTGCGCTTGTGGAAAACGAATACCAATATACGAAAATATGATATGTTGCAAATTTGAGGTAAAATTAATTTTATTGCTGATGTGTGTGTGTGTACAAATCACTGTTGCTCGTGCCTATATTATTTCGGCTATTTGTTCAATATTCTCAACTTGATTCAATCGAAATCGATATTGAGCCTCTCGCGCAGCTGTAACGAACAGATTTATTATGCGCTTTTCGCATACTCGACCGAGTGAAAGTTGAGAAAAAAATTGAAGAAAAATAAGAAATGCGAAAATCAGTTTATCTCGTTATGCGTTTTAGATGTATGTATACATTTATGCGCACGCGCGAGCCGCTTTTCACTCTCATTTGTTTACGATTTGACGGATTTCAGCTAGAATTTCTGCCGATAATTTGTATAATAAATGCCGGTGCGTATGAGTGAGCCTACGTGCTTAGAAAGTTCATCGTTAAATGTCAATGATTAAATTCTCATCAAAGTCATTGGCTAGAGGCAAAAGTCTCGACTGTCTACTATATAATATCCAAGCTGACTACAAATACTAGCATGTTTCAGTTTTCTTATGAAAAGTAGCGCTTCATCAGTATTTGCGAAGAAAATAAGCACATTCAAGAGTTAGCGTCGAAATAAAGTTTTTTAAAACTGTTTTTTACTTATACAATTATTTTTACTTTGCCACTTGCAGATTTACAGATTTAGGTACGCGCCACCTAGTGGCAGAAGCTTAAAGTGATTTTATCATATTTAAAGTTTCCAAAACCTGGTTAGGTCTTAATTTTATGAAACAATTAAATAGTCATTTTCGGGTCATTTAAAATGCGTCTTATATTTGTTACATAATTATAACAGAAAAATTGTCTTAATTTTTATGATTTTGTACTGTACTTTAGTTTAATGATATTGATATTGTCATCAGGCCATTATATTAACAGTGAGCATTTCTACTAGTGTAAGGGAATTGAAACGTGCTAGTTTTCGTAAGCTGCATCGATGTACTTTCGCGCACGCATGAATATCAAATTTCAGTGCGATCGAACGTGGGATATCTTTTCACGAGCGACTAATGACCCTTTTACAATGTTGCCGTATGCGTCTCTGACACGCGTGTTTGTGTTTGTGTATTGCAGGTGATCGTGGCACAGGACAAGCAGCGTCTGCGCTACGCCAGCGGCGTGAAAGTCGTGCCCAAGACCATTACGAAGACGGCCGAGGAGCTCTGGGTGCTGACAAACCGTTTCCTGCAGTTTCAGCTCGGAAAAATGGACTTTTCCGACATTAACTTCCGTATAATGAAGGGCGCCGTCAAGGATCTCGTCGAGGGCACCAAATGCGAGCTACCGGCGCAACTCAAGGCGGCACTCCGTCGCCGCAAGGTTAATCTAGCCTACAAATATCCTAAATGATTTTACTTGTTCTTCTCTCCTTTTTTCATCCCTTTCTTCTTTTTTTGTCATCCTCTTTAATTGTATCTTAGCTGAACGCAAAATTTTCTAGCTCAGTAAGTGTATATTCGTTGTTATATATTATTTTATACTTTTAACTGTGTGATAGTAATAATTTGAATACATGTGCCGTGCGGTATAATCAACGTCATTGCATTAACATATTCCGGAATCATCGCCATTAATTGTACATTCGTGGTCATAAAGAAATTTAAATTCGAGGCAAAATTGGTCGCTGAAATTTTACGTGTGCAGTTCTCGGTCGAGGAATGAATTTACGTACATCGATTTATGAATTATGCGTAAACTTCTATACGCGCAGCCACAGCATAAGTGCGTGCGGCTTTGTAATGATAGGTTGTAAATTTCATAAAAACAAACATATATTTTATAATAATTTTAATTATTGCTGTAAAAAATTTTTTGTAATAAATATTTTTGTAAATCGAATAATCCGGCCTAATATTTTTTTTCTCCCTCAATATTACTACATATTATGTACTGTAAAACTCCAAATGATTTCAGTTATTGTCAGATAGAAAATTGCAGAAATAAAAAAGGAAAGATTGCTTCCACGAACTAATTACAATGTGCTGCGCTGGCTTGCATTACGCAAAGTTCTCAAACGAAATAATATAAAGCGCCTTGACACATCGTACATATATATATTCCATCAAATGCCACTTATGTATCGTTTTATATATATCGTCAGAGTCACACAATCGATCCTGACAATTCGCGCGACGTTACGTCTAATCCTTTTACGCCTATTACAAAGCAGCCTGCAGACTGACTGCCTCATGCCTGACCGTGTGTGCAGTAAGGTTTCCCCACGCTTATGCGCTTAGCGCGCGCGCGATGCCAAATGACAATTTGCTCGCTCTCTCTCTCTCCCACGTCTCTCTCTCTCTTTCTCTCTCTCTCGCGAGCGTATAGACGCTTTTTTTGCTTGAGGTACGCGCATTAGCCATATAAAATGAGAGAAGGTAAAAAAACGCCATTGCAAAGACGACGACGACGACGACCATACACATAACTGGTTGACCTGGCACTGGTCATTTATCTTAAAGCGAAAATTTGCCGCGCGCGAATTTTCACGTTGTGCGTGTATAAACATTGTATATGTCGTATTGCGTTACGAAATATAAGCCGAGCTGCAGTTGACGATCGTGCCTCAATTTTCGCGGGGATCTCTCCACGCTGCTGCTGCTGCTGCTGCTCTCCACGCGCTGCACCAGTATAAGGCGTATACACAGATCGACGTTAGAAAGTTTTTGTCCGATGTCCACGCGCGTGTGCGAGCTCAAAAGGCCAAGCACTAATATGGCTAACTTCGGGCGCGCTTTCGCAATTCAGCGGTCTGTGCGCGTCGTACTCGTTGCTTTTGCGCGTCCCGTGTTTTGCTCTTTTTCTCAGATGTGCGTGCAGCGCACAGAGGGCGACTTTTCCACAGCTGCTCTTTGGATTTCGTTTGAGGAAAGAGAGAGAGAGAGAACAAAAAGGAGCAGCAATTGTAAAATTTTCCGAGAAAACGAAAGCGCCACCCGTAAATGGTGCTATAAGCTCTGGAAAAGCTGAGAAATTGCAGCACTGTGAGTGTGCCACTGAACTCTTTGACTAAATCTCAAACGATACACTTTGACACCGTCTGCATATGGACATTGGATAATGTTTCACGGTGACCAGACAATAATTGCATCTTTATAGTTGGCAGAATCGAAGTTACAACCACTTTACTTATTTCATTTATTTAATTTTGTAAAACTCCATGATTCGTAAACATTATAATAATATAATATTGTATATTAATATATAAAACTGGATAATAAAAAGTATATAGACCCTCGAAACCAAGCAAAAATAAAAAAGCTGCAATCGTGCATATATAATATATATAATATATAGATAGATGTAAGTGCAAATCCAACGTGAGCTGTATAACTACTACTTTAAGACCGCCGTAGCCGGTAAAAACACATTAGCATCGCGCGGAGATCCCGCATCGAAGTCTCACATATAATGCATCTATGTGAACGTAGACATATACACAGACCTTGAGTATCTATGTGTGTATACACACGTATATACATACACACAGAGCCAATCAACCCTTGTATCTTCTTCTTTACATGCACCCACGTACGGATTGTATGCAAATCTCCAGTGGCTTAATTACGCGAACACGCCTTCTATTACTACTGCAGCGCTATATATATCTGCACAGGCGCGCGTAACGCGAGGATATGCGATTCTATATACGTATACACTTGCACACATACACACGCATACCCGTACCTGCATGTTCATGTATATATACAAGGCTGTTGAGGTGAAGAAAGTAACGAGTTGAGAGGGTAACCAGAGTCTGATTAATACGGATATATTTATTAGTGAATGTATAAAACCGACGCTATATTGCAGTTGCATATTACGATAAAAACGATCTTACTTTAGCGTTATCTAAAATTTAAATTCGTTGTTAAAAATTGCTCTTATAACCTAAGAAGTTTTTAAAAATGTGAAAAAAAAACATTCAATCCTGAAATAATCTTGTTGAACTCTCTAGAATATGACAATATTGTAATATAAACTTTAGAATACCCCCATGCAACTTTTTATTAAACGTCTTCGGCAGACCAATGATAACTTTAATCTTGAATTTTTTTTTGCTACAGTAAATATGCTCAAAAGATCAGGGACTTTCGTAATCCAATTGTAATTTTGGCCAAAATATAACAAGTGCATTGGCTTTTGAATTCCGCCAACAGATGGAGTATTATAAACTCGCAAGTGAAAAAAAAAGTTACGAATAGTATTAATACAAGACATTTCCAAAGGATCTTTACACTATAATTTTCGTGAAAACGTTTTCATTTAATCTTTTTAAACACAACGAAAAGTCCCAACCTGCGGAGCGGTCATTTTTAATCATGACCGTAGCAAGATTTTGATGGTGGAAAGCTACCGATCACAAATTTGGCGTTTCTCTAAAGGGAAAATTAATGAGGACGAAAAATCCCATGAATGGAAGAATAGGAGATATACAAGATTGTTCTATATATTTGGGGACAAGAAATGTTATGTTACCGTACTATTATGTATAGCTACCTATGATAATATACCTGCAACGTCTCGTGGTGGATGCGAAATAGAATAATTTAGCCCTTCCACGTGCACGATAAGACAAAATTTGCATCGTCGCTCAATGGAACCCCGACGTAATAAAAAGACGAGAGCTGGAATAAGAAAGCGAAAGAGATAGACGATTTCCTGCGATTCGACATTGTCGCCCTCCTGCGCACGATACGCACGTAACATAATGCATCCATATCTTTTTGCGCGCGAGCGCAAATGCCCTGTGTCACAGCCTGTATATCATATACATGTATGTGGCTCTTTCGCGCTTGCGAGAATACACAACTGTTTCGTGGCTATACACACATACACACATGCTCAGGTGAGAAAGAGAGAGAGAGAGAGAGAGAGAGAGAGAGAGAGAGAGAGAGAGAGAGAGAGAGAGAAATGTTCAGGTTTTCTTTGTGAATTTCTCAAGCTGAAACTCGTGCGAGGGTAGCTGCTGCTACGAGTTGACTAAAAAAAAGAAGAAGGACTCCGCGAGCGCGGCGGGCGTACGAGAAAAGAATTGGGTTGGATTCAAAGAAGAAGAAAAGAAACATAGAAAAGGCTTATCGATCGCGGAGAGTATAACTTTTTTCAAGCGTGAGCTTACAACGTTTTTCGCCCCGATAAAGGATTGACGCACGCACGACGCTTGTGTGTGATGTATCGCCCGACCCACGTAAACTCGGCATTTCTTATACTTAATCCGTGAAAGAAACACAGAGGAAACGAAAATTATTGATAATCAAGATTTTTTTCGAAAAACTTTGAACCCGGAAAATACAAAAATTTCGACGATCAACAGCGATAGGGCAGCGACCTCAGGTAGAATCACACATTAATTTATTCATCAAGCTCAAGTAGTCGCTCTGTGCACCTCGTGGCTTTATTATCGAAGCAAGGAACGGTAATAATATGCATTTTGCACGGCAGCGCGGGTACATAATATAATGGGCAACCGTATAAGAGCCGCGAGAGGCGCAACACGAGGGAGGGCACATCGCGCAACTGCTTTCTCGTTAAGCTTGACAGACGTCGTGATTATTTTCCCGACTTTCTTTATATGCATGCAAGCTTTAAAACGCATTTTTTTCTCTCCCTTCGCGCGTCAGCAGTGCCTTATAACGCGCTCCCCGCACACCACGAAAGACTTTCTATATGCGGAACCGCGCCCGAAATGACACTCTTTGTCAATTTTAATTGACGTTAACGGCGCTTAAAAGGCTTCTCTCTCTCTATCTCTCGCTCGCTCGTGGCTCCGCAGCGATCTGCGCGCGCGTTTTAATGCTCTTCTCCGGCGCGCTAATCGCGCGTCAAATGTGCACGATGGATAGTAGTGGTGGTAGTAGCCAAAGCAAAGAAGAAAAAAGACGAAAATAACAAATTGCCTTATGTGTGAGAGACGATTCGACTCGTTTTCTATGCATAATGAGTAACTTATGTAAAACTCGTCACGATCGTGAGGGGGTGTACTCTCGTAAGAGAAGAGCCGCTGCTGGAAAATGTGTGTGTACCATCGCTAATTTGTTACCAAATTACACCGAGCGTCGCTTACATAAAAAAAAAGAACAACGTTTACGTGCGTTCGCAGACGTCATAATTTTACCCAAAAACTTTCGTAATTTTAACGATGCAAATTTGCAGATGTAGCTTGAGCAATTTCTCGGTGGCATGTAACGCGTCTCGCGGATAATTGTACGGAAAATTAATGCCTCGAGAATTGCCATAATACCGATATGTAATACAATTACCGCGGCAAGTGTCCAAGCTCGATGATGAAAAAAAAGAGGAAGATTTGTCTTTTGTTTTTCTCGCAATTGCTCGAGCAGGTGCACAGAGAGGACGAGTTTCAGGCATTGTATCACACCATACGCGCATTTCAGATACATGTATAGGCATCCCGAAACGTCGTGTATACGAATGTATACAATTAGGCGCGCTTACTCGTAAAATCGAGCGTTAAAACGTCGCGCGTATGCCCGAGCGAGAGAATGTTTAATAATGTAGAATTAAAATTACATTAAATTACACGCAGTTAAGTATAGAAAGTTTGAAACATAAGTAGATATATGCACACGGTGAATCGTCGCGCGCTCGTCGCGATCATATATCGCCGGCCTTTGGATATATAATAATTATAAATCTTTGACACGTAATAAACGGTTTACGGTAAGTACATGCACGTC